CAAATGGTCACGAACAGGGATTTATAAAAGTGAATTGTGATGCATTCATACGATGGAATAATAGTCACCTGCCATAATAGATGCTCAGGAATTTGCATTTTGACTGACTTCATTAAAATTTAATTAAGATGATTTAGCACATTATAATGAGAATGTAAAGGTTTGATGTCAAATTTCCATAGTATTTAACTTATCCTTGGTATTCATTATAAAGTGAATTGTCGCCTACCATATAATAGAATAGATAGAGTATTCACATGCAAACTTTTTGTTATGGTTAGGATGCCCTGTTTAAATAAGGTTTCTTTCAAATATGTACTGCACTGAGTGTGTTCTGAAACAAGAATGTCCAATCCCCACTCTCTCCCCAAACCTGTGCCTGCCCATCCCTCTGCAAGCAGCTCTGACCAACAATCTGGAGTCGTCTTTCCTCCTTCTCCTCACCCCACATCTGTCTTAGTCCAACCTCTACATGGCAGCCCGAGCCCTGGCCACCTCTAGCTTCTCTCCCTGGTCACCTCCCAAACAGCGTCTGTTTAGCTGTTTGACTTGTCTGGCTCTCACTGACGGGTCACCCTGCTTCTCTTCCCATCTACCAGACAGTCCGTCTCTGGCCAGCAACCTACCCTAATTTTTTTAAATGCTTATTTTGAATTATTTCAAAATTCAGAGAAAAGTTTGAAATAGTACAATGAATTGCCATATGACCTTCCCCAGATACAGCAACTGTGAACTGCTCTCTTGCTCTGTGTCATTTGATGTTATTTGATGTATCGTCTCCCATACACACACGCACGCATACATAAGCTGTCCCTATGCTAGGCACATATTTTTTCTCTTCCTGAACCATTCCCTAGAGTAAATTGTAGACATCGAGTCCCTTGCCACTAAACATTTCAGTATTATTCCCTAAGAACAAGGACATTCTCTTACATAACCATAGCACAATTATCAACTTCATAAAACATAATATTGATTTGATACTATCAGCTAATCTATGTTCTTTAGAGCAATTTCTCCCCCTATCCAAGATCCAATGGAGGGCCATATATCACCTTTAGTTATCACATTTTTTAGCGTCTTTTAATCAGGAACACTTCTCAGCCTTCCTTTGTCTTGCATGCCATTAATGTTTTTTTTTTTTGAGTCCAGACCAGTTCTGTAAAATGTCCCTCAATTTGAGTCACTCCCTCCATTTAAAACCCTCCACTGCCTCCTCATTCCTCACAGTTTAAAATTCCAAGACCTCATTACTGGCCTTCAGGGACCTGCAGGATCCCTCCTCCCCCACCTCACCACTCCCCAGCACCAGCCAGGCTGACAGCTCTCAAACATGCCAAGCTCTTTGCTTCTGTGTTCATCCGCCTTCATGGCACTTTTCGGCTCTTCACACACACAAAAAAAGGTCACTCCTTCAGATCACTCAGGTCGGCTCCACTGAGGACTGCCCCTCGCCACTCAGTCCAGGCCAGACCCTCAGCATTTTCTTTCTTCATGGCCTGTATCCTTATTTAAAGTGACTTCCTTCGCTGATTTGTGTGTTCACTGCCTGGCTCCCACACTGGCATGTGAGCTCCAACAAGGGCAAAGATTTGTCTGTTTGGTTCACTGCCGCATTCCTAAGACCAGAGTGGTGCCTGGCACGCAAGAAGCACTTGGAAATTATTTGTTTAGTAAATGAACAAGTGAGGAAAGAAGAAAGCACTAGGGTTGGGAGCTAAAGAACCAGGAGGCCCAGAGAGCGAGGGAGTCCAAGAGGCCCTTCCAGATTCCAGAACCTTCCCCAGGCCTCCCTTGTTGCCTCTAACCAGAGAAGGAAACACCGGCAAATCTCCCTTATCTTTGGGATCCAATCACTCGACCAGCCAGTCCTAACTGATTAATCTCCCTAAATCAATCTCAGTAGGCTGACAGGCTGGATTCCAGAGATGAATCTGATCAGACCCTGGAGAAGGCCCATGGCCCCCACCAGCCAGGCCAAAAGTGCAGGGTCTCCCTTCCTGATCCTTGAGTCCCATCCCCCATTCACACATCCTCTGAGGGCCAGCCCAGGGTGTGGGGACAGAGAGAATAACTAACCCAGTACAAAATCCTGCTAATAGCTCTTTAATTGTGTAATGTGTGAGGAGGACTCACTCCAGGCTTCCCAACCCCAGAGGGGAGAGCCAGCCCACGGGGTGTTTGCCACTTACTTATCCCTTTCACTAATCAGGCTGTGAACATTTACTGCTCACGCTATATCAAAACTCAGGGGTACAGGAGAGGTAAATCTACCCTTTCCTTAACCCCAAGCCCCATTCATTCTTGATTCCATCTCTTCTGCAGAGGAAGGGGTCAAACCACACCGCCTAGACCCACAATGCAGAAAGCATCTCCTCCAGGAGACCCTCTCTCATAGCAGACTCCCTGTCAATACTTGCTTGTAGACAGAGTCCCCTCCAGCCTTGAGCTCTCACAAGGACAGTTCCCTCTGCCTAGGAGGCTCTACGTGAGTGCTGGCCCTGCAGAGATGCCTCCACATTCACCAAGCTCTTGGTGAGGTGTAATGTGCCTCTCACTCGCTGTGTGACCCCGGGAAAATTGCTCAGCCTCTCCAGGCTTCCCAGTACAAAAATAAACAAAGATGGGGCTGATAAGGCTGGCAAAACCTAAGGAGCTGAAAGCTGAGAAAGAGAGAGTGGCTCGTCAGAAGAGAAAATTCAGCCCCTGCACCCCACAAAGAAAACGGGGGAGGAGGGAGTGCTACCTTGAGGAATTTCTGATCCGCCGCGCCCCAAGCCGTGAATGAAGAGCAGCTCCCTACCTCGTGGCTAATGGGATTAGCAAGGGCTTGGCTATAGGCGTTGGCTTGGGGTCTGAGGTCTCCCTGCGGCCACTGGCAGTGGGGGGGCGCCGAGAAGCAGGGCCGTCCCCCACCCTTCCGTACGAAGTGAGCACAGGCCCCAAGGAGCCGCAGTCACCTGCCCGCTATTTCCTCCACGACCTGGGCCGCCTAGCACGCAGCCAAGACAAGGAGGCACCAAGGCAGGGCTCCGCAGCCACCTCCTGCTGGACTTCCTCGGCTGGTCGCTTGGCCTCCCTGCACCTCAGCCTCCCCATCCACCAAATGGGCGTCAGGCAGTCTGACTGCAGCGGTCAGCTTAGGCGCGGCCTTGGCACGGTGCGCACACGCAAAGGCGCTCCACAAGTAGTGGGTATCTTCACCGCTTCTCATTAGGGCAGTTTGCCTCTACCAGGCCCGAGCCAGATACCAAGCGGGCAGTGCGCGTTGCTCCCTCCCAGATTCGCAGAAGGCAAGTGAAAACCCTGCCAGCCAGGGAGACCCGAGGTCCGATTCCCGGCCGCGGGGGGCCCTCCTCACGACCCCGGGCCAGACCGAATGACCCAAAGAACCCAAAAGACACGCATACACATACACACACAAACACAACACCGTAGCTTCGAGGAGTGCAGGGCAGGAGGGGTGGGGGTAAGGGATGGCCTAGAAGGCCTTTTGTACCCCAGGGCCACCCCCAAATCCTTACTGGGGGGGTCTCCGGAGCTCGTCCCTTGGCCACAGCGCCCCTGGGAAGAAAATCCTTGCCCTCGCCGCAGCCCCCGGGAGGAATGCGGCCCCCAGCTCCCGCGGGGCATAGGCGCGCCTGGGGGCCTTGACCCAGTTCTCGAGTCCCTGCCAGCGGGGATCTCCGTGCTCCCAGCACTCCCTCCTCCCAGGCCACGCGAGCCCCTCCCCCGACCGGCGCCTCACAAAGGCTCTTTGTCCCGCAGAGTCCTCCGGACTCCAGTTCCTGAAAAGTTCCAAGAGAAAAATCAAAAAGAGGCAAAATCTGCGAGCAGGCAGGGTGGGTGGGGCGAGGCCAAGGCGGCCCAGGCCGGTGGTGTCTTCTACACCAACCCTAAGGACGAGGACAGCGTTGGGGACTCCCCGGGAAATCTCAAAAGTGCTAAACTACAGACTGGAGGAGACGTGGATTTTTTTTAAAAAATCGAAGCACGGGACGTCAAGCGCAGAAGCTAGGGGCAGCCCGGGAAGGGAGGACCGGGTCTCCTGGGGTGGCCGCTGGGCAGGTCTGGATGTCCCCGCGTCTCCCTTCCCACTCCGCCCAACTGCAGCAACCGCAGCTCGGCTGGTGCAAGCGTCTCCCTCCCCGGCGAGGCGCCCGCCCGGAGGCCACCAAGCCTTCTCGCCATCTACTCATGCAGTTCGATGTTGGACCCAGGGTTTCCCTTCCACCGCCCGTGCCCGGGCCGATGCGGTCCCCAAACTGCTTCTTTCCCACAGATTCCGAATAGCAGCGACCCAGTTTCGGCGTCCCTAACACGCCATGGCGCCCTCCCTCCCCCCGGAGAACGAAGGGTCCCCGGGGCCGGGGTCACCGCCCTCCTACCGGCATGCAGATTCCCGGGGCCGCTGTTCTCCTCCTGGGGGAAAAAGGAGCTCCCGAGAGTCACTGCCCGCCCGCCGAAGACCAAAGTCCCAGGGCTGGTATCACCATCTTCCTGCATCCCCCAGAGCTCGGGAACCGCGGAGGACCGGCGCCGCGCGGGTGGTGGAACTGGGAACAGGACCCAGGGACCACGGGCGCTGGGAAGGGCGTTTGCCAAGAAAAAGATTCGAGCTCAGAAAGCGGGTGTCTCACGGGGTGTGGGGGCTGGTTTGTTCTTTTCTCGCCCAGATTTTGAAAACTCCAGCCCAGGCTCGTGCCGCAGAGGCCGGGGATCGGAATCACCCCGGTAGCTCCGACTTCGGCAGACGTTGGCACCTCGGGAGGGTCTGGAGAGCGGATCGCACCGGGGTCTCGGGACTAGCCGCTGTCCTGAGCCCAGGGGTTTCCCCGTCCCAGAAAAGGAGCCAGCCCGCCCGCACCCCAGAGGACCGACCAAGGGAGAGACAGGCGCCGAGCCCCGGCAGCGAGCGCCGGGGAACCGGCCGAGTAGGGCTTCCCGGGCCTCCCTCCCCAAGATCCGGGAAGACAAGAGGGGGCAGGCAGGGAACTTACCCGGGTGCGGGTGGAGATTGAGGCCGGCCATGTACTTCCCGGGCGGCAGCGGGCCGGGCAAGCCCGAGGAAGGCAAGCGTCCGGCAGTGGCCGCGCCCACGCGGTGGCTATCCATGGCCAAGCCGGACAGGAGCGGCGGCGGGGGGCCGTGCACGGACCGCTGGGGCCCGAAATCTCGGCCATCCTTCCTCCGCGGGAGTGCCGCGGCCTGCCCCCCACC